TAAACTATCTAAAAAAATTAAAAATTGTAAAAAAATTTTTTATTTAATTATTTTTTATACTTTGTTTTTTCTTTTTTACTATTTTTTATTTATTATTTATCTATTTATTTTCTAAAAACTTTATTAATTGGGTGAGTATAATTTTTAAAAAAAAATTACTACAATTTTTAAAATATAAAACTGAAATTTCTGAGATTACTTACTAAGATAACAGTCCTTGTTAAATAAATAAAAGTTGTAGCAACCGTTAATGTGGTTCTAATGACAGTAAAAATGTTAAATTCGGTCCAGTAGATCAAAAGTTATGAGCGATTTACATTTCACGATCATATAAATTTCTTTATAAATCTATAAAAAAAATTTATATGATCACGAAATGTAAATCGATCATAACTTTTGATCTACTGGACCAAATTTATCGTTTTTACCGTAATTAGGACCGCAGTGACAGTTGCAACAACTTTTATTTATTTTACAAGGACCGTTATCTTAGTAAGTAATCTCAGAAATCTCAGTTTTATATTTTTAAAAATTGCTTTTTGTTATTTTATATATAAATTACTAATAAATTTAATCCACAGAAATAGGTAGATCCACGGAAATAGGTACCTTTACCTTAGTATACTGCTAATTTAAAAAATAAAAGTAAAATCACTGAAGTAAAAAAAAAATAAACTTGAAATTTTTTAAAAAAAGCTAAAAAAATACACCCCAAATTTGGTATTTTTGGTAACTTGTCTATTTTACTTTATACAAAATTTCATTTTAATCTGTTTTTATTTTGATCTGCCACATGTTTTATCTAATAAATATTTATTTGTTACGCCAAATGATTGGTCAAATAGAAAAATAAAAAGTGCTAAATATATTGATTTAATCCAAGATACCTAATCAATACATGAGATTAATGTGCGTTAGATTGGATCTATCGTAGCATGGATGTACTTTGTTAGAATGCAAAAAAGGGTGAAAGTTCAATACAGTCGTACCTTGGTTATATTTACACTGGGCTACATCCTTCTTATTTGTTACATTAGCTTATCCTATATTTAGGCAAAATAAATTTCCTTTTTTTTATGTTTTTATATATTGAGTTATATCCAACCTTAGTTGTATCTCCAAAAAAAAAAAATTAGAAAACATATAGAGAAAAAAGTGATGATTTTCAGTATTCGTTTGAGACTTCTCTTCAATTGACTAATAAATTATATTCAAATTTCACGATAAACAAATATAAATAAACATGAGAATCAGATAATTGAGTAAACATTTATTATAAGTCTCGATATGAATGTCTATCCGGATATCTGATTAAATAGATCGGCATTAAATATAGGCAAACTTGTGGAAAAAGAAGTCTTAATATTTAAAGATTGAATATTCTTCCACTTTCTTGGTATTTTGTTCACGACACACGGAGTAGCAGTCATTATATTTTCCAACAGTTGTGACGATGTCATATTAGTTGTACCTACTTTTATTGCACTTTCGATTACGTGTTTTTATCGGTGAATATAATGATCAAATAAAAACAATGAAAGCATAGAAATTATATATGAATTGTTAACTTACAGGCATGTTCCTGGACTAAAATGCATATATGTAGAATTACAAGCTTTGAGAATTTCTCTCTCGAAATGCTTTTCATTCTTTAAACATACAGGAATAGGTTGTCTATTATTGCATAAGGAAATCATAAATAATTAACTTCGAAGCTATATGATAGAAACCTATCCTTGGCACTTACTTTTTCTTCTGAAAGAAACATTTTCCCAGTAATTTTGGAAGTAAAGGTATAACTCTATCATCTGCCATGAACAAATCATACGAGTTACATAGTTGACGTTTCGCTTCGTATGGTTGGTATTTTTTCCGAAGTTTAGATATTCCAATCACCTTTGTCCAGATTAAAATAATTGAATCATGTAGCATTAAAAGCTGTCTATTCATATAACAAAACTGAATCTATACAAGTACCTTTTGTATACGTTTCACATTTTTAGAAGCAACCAGCTCTTTAAAAGTCTTCTGCGGATCTTTTGTTATCAAACAAATTTCTGTCGATGCATCATATAAAGGATACTTCAGCGGGCTAAAAAATATTAACAATAAATAATTAAAGTCATACAAGAGCATTCGATGTTTCCCGATTGGAGATACATACATGCTAACTGGCTTATCTTTGGTTATATCTAAAAACCTGTGAGTAGAAACGATTAGCCAAACAAAATGTACTTTATCTGCGAGAATGTCGTTGCTTTTATCCTCTTGGTATTTTGAAACATATTTAAGAAGTGCTGTGGTTGCCTTTTCGATCTAGAATTAAGTATTATTTCATTATCAATTAAGAAAATCCATTATAGAAGGCTTCCGCTAAATAGTAAAAATATGAGCGAATGCTTGACATTACCAATTCTTTATCAAGCGTAGGTTCTGTTTTTGAAGCCATAATTTTTAGATTAGATTTGATTTTCAAAATTTGTACCAATCAAAATAAGATACTTGTGATATTATTGGTCAAATTGGAGGTCCAGCAATTTATCACGGGCAGGGATAGTGAAAAATATCGCTCGTGTGATATGATCATGTAAAATTTTTTGCCTTGATATTTTTGTCATAAGTACCCTAGCCTAGTGATCCAAATCGGACCAAAAAATGCAATCGATTAATCAACCAAAATTTTTTTTAAAAATCGATTAAAAATCG